GCTCCTGGTCCCTTATGCGATGGCTGACAGTTCCTAAGGCAAACACTGTGACTGATGGATTAGCCTCAGTCACTACCTGCTGCTTCCCATTGGATAGAGAAGCCCCTTTTGATACCTCAGTCCTTTCTCCTAAGCCTCCAGATTTCTCCCAAGGCAGCCCACACCTAGCCTTCTTTCTGAAATGAATTGGAAATATGTAGCTACCCAAAGAGGGAATATTGGGAGACCTGGAGAACGGATGGGAGGGACTATCTTTGTATTCCCCCAAGACTAGCATAGTACCTGGAACTTTTTTTTAAAAAAAAACCAGACCCATGATTTCATTGATGTGGGGTTTCTATTGCTTTGTCGGAGAAAAGAACTCTCAATACAGGTCAGCATCTGCTGTGAAAGGTCTGCTAAAGAACAAAAGAAGGTAAGGGAATTAGGAGAGGAATTGGTAAAAAGGAATTAGTGAAAGTTTACTGTGTTTACATTGAAACAATGGCCTGGGCCTTGGATTTCATTGGTGTAAAAAATTGTCAGTGAGGACCGACCCCTCCCCCCCACAAACAAATGCAAATCAGAGTCTTAGTTGCCTGGGACACTGAGAGGCACCTGCCCAGGGTCATGCAAGCCAGGATGTATCAGAGATAGGACTTGAACCCATGGCTCTTCTTGACTTAGACATTGGCTCTCTATCCACTGTGCCATGCTACCTCTCCCCTGGCACATAGTAGGTGCTTATTAAATGCTTGTTAATTGACTGAGTCCAATGAGCATCAATTAGGTACCTATATTGTTCAAGGCATTCTCCTTGGTGGCGGGCAATATGGAGGCGTGATAAATTTCTTAAAATACTTTCTAGAAACTTAGAATCTTAGAATCAGGTGGACCCTCAGGAGCCATCAAGTCTAGGACCTTCATTTTACAAAGGAGGAAACTGAGGCCAAAAGAGATAAAGTGACTTTATCCCAAGGAATTCTCCTGGGATTAGAATCCAGGTTTCATGAATGTCACATCATGTACAATAACTTTACAACTAATATCAGTGGGTTGTTGTTGTTGTTATTGTTGATTCTTTGTTCCTGAAGAGGACCAATGACATCAGGAAGATGCCTTTACTTGCAAGTGAATTGGAGTTAAGTGAAGCAGAGCTGTGCGAAGTCACCAGCCTCATTCTGTCCTCCAGAGTCATCAGAGTCCAGTGGCAAGACATAGGTCAAGATGACTGGCAATGCCCCCCACCAATGGGTAGAAGTTATGAGGAAGACTAGGTTTTAGCTCAATATAAAAAATAAGAGCTATCCAACATTGGACTTGGCTGCCCTGTAGGGTACTGAGTTCCCTGTCACTGCAAGTGTTCAAGCAAAGGTTAGATGTCCACTTCCTAAAGGTGCTGATGAGAGGATTTTTCATTGAGTAGGAGGCTTCCAACTCTTAATTTTCTATGACTCTGGAATGATATATGTCACCAACTCTCAATTATCTAAATGTGACTTGCCCACACAAATCTGAAATCACAGGCTGGTTTCCTCCTACCTGTCACCATAATTCAGAGGTGCTTTTCCTTAGCATTAGCTGGGTGGTACCCCAAACTAGAACACGCTTATTTGATGTATTAGCCTGAGTCAGACATTTAGGGAAGTGAATAGTGCCCCATGTACTGAAAAAAAAGAAAGTAAATAGATTGCATTCTAAAGCCTTAAAACAATTTAGAGGGAATCATCTCCTCTGTAGGATTGCTCATCTGATGCCTTAAGACAATTTCTATTTGTGCAGGTAATTGAGAGTTAACTATATGAATATTCCCGCACCTTCTATGTTAGAAGGCGATGCTCCTGATGATCATTACATCCTGTATAGGGATGTGACTCTTCAGTCACAGACCAAAGTCCTTCAGAGGAGCAGTCCTTTGAATACCACTACACAGTAATTGTCAGCTGCTGTCACAATTTTTGACTGTGGCTCTTCTTTTAGACTTGAGTGGTCAGTCAATCTGAAACCCTTTCCTGGGAAAAATAATAGATTACCAAATGTCAGCGCCAGAAAGGAACTTTGAACACAGAACAGAGAATGTCGGACTTGGAGGGAAACTAGAATATGGAATGCAGAAATGGAGGAGAATTTAGGACACAGACAATTGAATATAGAATGTTTAGGCTGCAGTGGACCAGAGCTTTGGACATAATGCTCAAGAGATCACTAATAATCTTGGAAAAAGAAGTTCCAGTCACAAAGAGGCAGATTTAGATTTGATATAGAGAGGAGTTCCTAAAAATTAGAGCTATCCTCAAATGAAATGCAATGCGAAATAGAAGGTAGTGTTTCCTTTCCCCAGGTGGTTTCAAACAGAGACGGGATGAGCACTTGCTGGGTTTGTGCTACTGAAGAGATTCTTACTTAGGGTTGGGTTGGCCTGGGTGGTCTCTGAAGCCCCTTCCAGTGCAGAGATTCTGAGATCCTGGGTTGCTACAACTAAGGAATGTTTCTTAGTCTTCAGGATGCTGATGCTTGCTCTCCTTGGTAACGACAGGGAATTGCCTAGTGAATACACTGCAGTCACCAGAAAACCCTTTCCCTGGATGTGGCACCAAGTTCCAGCAATGGCCTGAGGCTCCAGGCTGTCTGAGAAAACAATCAGCAGCAATTGAAAGCTCTGACTTCAAAGAGGGAAGGCTGGGTTGAGGGATACTCTGGGCTTTAATTGGAGTGGAATTGGGGTGAGGGCTTTGGTTTTTCTTGGAAAGGTTTTGATTTCATTCTGCTACTTTTTTTTTTTTGCTTTTTTTGGGGGAGGCAATTGGGGTTAAGTGACTTGTCCAGGGTCACACAGCTAGTGAGTGTCATGTGTCTGAGGCTGGATTTGAACTCAGGTCCTCCTGACTCCAAAGCTGGAGCTTATCCACTGCCACACCTAGCTGCCCCCATTCTGCTACTTCTGAATGGGTAAATAAAATTCACTTTATTTGGCTTTCCCTCTTCTGCTTGGATTAGAGAACCTTGGAGTTGGAAAGGATGTTAGAAGTCATAGGATCTAGGATCTAGAGAGGACATCGAGCCCAATCCTCTCCTTTTATAGATGAGACCGAGACCTAGGGAAATGAAGTGATTTTCCCAAATGACAGATACAAGAAATCAGAGGCAGGATTTGAACACAAGGCCTCTGACTCCAGAGGCAGTTCTCTTTCCACAGTATCATGCTGCTTCCGTGGGGCATTTGTCTGATCTGTACATCAACGGGAATCTTCTCTGCAATTTTTCCAACAAAGAGTCATCCATTCTCTACTTGAAGGCCTCCAATAAGAGAGAAGTCTCCCCTCTGCCCCAGGGCATGGCAGCTTTCATCAGTAGGCAGTTTTCATCAATGTCAATGGCAATATCAATGCTAATTCAGCAATCACGTATTAAGCACCTAGCATGTGCTGGGTACTGGGAAGACACAAAGATAAATAAATGTTATGCCCTGCCTTCCATGTTCAGAAATTGCTTCAAGATGAAGGAGGGTGTGGTCTGTGCCACCAGAGAGGTGCATCATGGGATGAGAGTTCAGAGGAAGGAGTGGCCCCAGCCTGCCTGTCCTGTTCATTATGATAGGGAGGGGGTGGGATGAGCAACATCGACAGAAAGGGAGCAATCATCCCTTTCTGGCCACCACCCACTTGGGTAGTCTTCTCTGGGACTGTCCATAGGATGCTCCCCAGTCCTGGTCTTTATGGCCTTGGTATGGTCCATGGCATGCTTTCTAACAGTTGGAAAATCTCTCTCATATGTGCAAAATACTTATGGCAATATTTAACATTTCTCAAACTTAAGGTTCAGGAAACATAATTTCTGGGTAATTTAATCATTTTGTTAATAATGCTAGTGTTTTAATAAAAGGATGATCATTTGGCCATATCTGTCTTAGACCAAAGGCCATCATGGCAGTGGTCTCAAGACACATGCCCATTAAAAAAGAGGTGTTCCCAAAGGCGTCAATCAACTCTGACTGGTTAACAATTAATGACAGAATGAATATTACAATGAGGAGCTGAACCTATTCAAATGAACTTTAAATTATGTCATTTACTTTTAAATTACCCCCAGCCTTGGGCAATCTATTCAAAGAATTTCTCCCCACCCAAACCTGAGAAGAGAACAAAGGCTTCCCCACCTGGGTGGGATGTGAACAAAGATTATTAAGAAAGTTAGTCCAATCTCATTATCAGTAATGTCCTTCAAGAGACCAAACTTTTGAAATCAGGGCTTCAGAAAAACAGGGGAACTCTGGATCTCCCCAAATCATTGGTTATTAATAATCATTTCTCTCAGCAAATCTTGCTGTAATAGCAAACAAGTAGATGCAGTGTGGTGCATTAGGAGTCCTGAGTTCAAATCCTGCTATAGACATTGTCTATATAGACTATTGACTAGTTGTGTAAACCATTGGCAAGTCTCTCTGCCTCAGTTATCTCACATGTAAAACGAAGGGGTTGAACCAGATGGATGCTAAGGACCTTTCCAGTTCTAAATCCACAATCCAATGAATTGGAAAATGGCTGAAGAAATTTTGTCACCTGGATGCAATAGACCATTACTATACCATAAGAAATGATGACTGTGACCAGTTCTGGGAATCATGGGGGAAAAAATGATTAATTGGTACAGAGTGAAGTAAGCAGAATCAGGAAGCAATATATACAAAGGCTACAACAATGTCAGTGCAGAGCACAGAATCAACCACAAAAATTACAGCCATGCTCGGTAATTACAGTGACCAAGCTTGGCCCCAGAATGAAGAGGAAAATCCCTTCCCTTATTTGCAGAGATGGGGACTTCAGACTAAAACCTGACTCGGTTGATATTTCAGTTATTTTGATGATTTTTTTCTTTTTCCTTTTTCCTTTTATTAGAAGGGATGGCTCTCTGGCAGGGCAAAAAGGGAAGGGCCTATTGGGAAATGAAAGTGATAGTAAACAGGAAAGGTAGAAATAAAATATTTAAGCAGATTACCAACTTGAGGCATCTCTGTATTGCAGGAGAAGAATGTGGAGGAGCTCCTGGCAGTGAAACTGACATTACAGGCCGACCTCGAGGTATCCATCCGGCGAATTGCCGATCTGCAGGCTGCCCTGGAAGACATGGACTCCTGTCCTAGTGATGACAGGTAACCCATAGGTTTCCTTTCCCAGAAAGTCAACAGATCCCACTTATCTCTGGGAGGCCTGGGAGGCCTTTGAAGTGGGAGCGAGGAAATGATTCTTATTCACATTGTCTTGGAGCTGTGTGGCATGGGTCAAGAAGCATGGTTCTCTGGATAGTGTGGCGGTAGCTCGATGGCTTGGGGGAGGAGAGGGATGAAGGGCATGGTCCATCTCACGACCCTTCAGGCTATCCCACAAACATCAGAGTCAGAGTTCCAATACTATGGGGCCACACTTACGGGGGTGGTAGGGTAGAATGGGCACTGATGGTGGACTTAGAGGGTCTGGGTTCAAATCTTATCTTTGCTACTTCCTACCAATATGACATCTCTCTCATCCCACTCTAGGCTCATATCTGAGAAGCTCCTAAGCATATAAATGACTTTCTGGCTGGGCAAGAATTCCTTTCATTTCAAGGTCTCCTTGTGGTTGCTGCTCTGATTGCCTGCCTAGCTAGTGATCTGCTCCCTTGGCCAAGTCTCTTTGGCTTCTGTGCATTTCTTGGCTGGTAGATCTGAGAAATGGTGAGATGCTAAGGAATAATTATCTCCCCCAGGGTCCTACATGATCATGGCCACTGAGGCCCAGGGAGGTTAAGCATCTTGCCTGAGGTCATCCAGCTAATCAATGGTGGGCCTGGGACTAGAATTCATCAATAAAGATCTATTGATCAGGTGCTAATTATGTGTAAAATGACATACTAGGTCCCCTAAGAAAGGACTCTCTTACTATCATAAGCACTTGGTTTCCCACTTGACCATATTGATTTCTGATTTTCATCTGGTCCCCAATTGCTTGGCTTCTCTTGGGTCTTTAGCAAGCATTTGCTTCTGAGTATTGAGCCTTCCAGGGATGGAAGTCTCAACAGGGTACAATGGAAAGAGCCTTAGCTCTGGAATTGGGGTTCCTGACCTGGATTCAAATCCTACCTCTTGAGATTTACACCCTGTGAGGCCTCAGAGAAGTCATAGCTTCCATGGATCTCTGTTTTCTCCTGTGTAAAATAAGGGAGTCATGTTAAAACGGCCTCTGAGACTCACTTCGGTTTCTGATCTAGGATCCTTATGCCTTTTCATGTCCCTGCCTTTTCTCTAACTCTTGCCCTTGGCTCTCCACCCCCTAATCCATTTCTGCCTTTGTCAGATGAGAATCAATTGCTTATTGATTGCACCCAAAGTCTGGACCAAATGCATTTATTCATGGCTCAGCTTGACCCAAGTGTACGAGCAGATTTGAGCAATTCTATCATCACTCCTGGGGAGGTGTTTCGAGGTGCAAATTCTGCTAATTATGTGCCACAAGCATCATGGGATGTGTACATAGTAGGTGCTTAATAAATGTGAACTGAAAAGAACCATCCTCTTAATACAAGACCCATTGGACTCCACAAAGAAAAACAATACTGCAGGGATCTAGAATGAGGAACACATTGGTATAGTTCTGTGGTCAGCCGAGCCTGTCTTCCTGGACCAGTTTTCCAAGCCTAATCCCCGATTCCTTTTCCCACTTTTCCCTCTCCCTCCCTCCCCCACAAGGTATACAATTCATGGAGCTGCTGGGAGATGATCATGGAACAGAGAATTTCATAATGTGGGGTAGAGGTTAGAAAAGAATAGCAGAACTGGGAGGGGCCTTAGAACAGGGAATGTCAGAGCTGGGAGGGGCCTTAGAACAAAGGAATGTCAGAGATGGAAGGGGACTCAGAACAGAGAAAGTCATTTGAAAGGGGCCTTAGAATCAGGAATGTCAGAGCTGGAAAGGTCTTAGAACAGGGAAGGTCAGAGAATCTTAAAACAAAGGAATGTCAGAGCTGGGCGAGACCTGAGAATCATAGAACCAAAGAATATCAGAACCAGCAAGGATTTTAGAACACAGAATCCAGGATGTTAGCTCCCAGCACAGACCTTATAAAATGTAACACTAGAAAATGAAGGGCAAGGGGGCTAAAGACCATCTAGCCCCTCCTTTATTTACTTTTGAGGAAACTGAGGCCATAGAGAAGCAGTGACTTGCCCAAATGTCTACGAACTCTTCAGAGCCTTTTATTCTAAGGAGGGTGGCATGGCTAGTGACCTTGCCTTGGGAGTCTTCTTGAAGACAAAGAAGAATAAGTGCTGGATTTGGAGTCAATAAACCTGGGGTCTAATCTTGACTCTTATTTACTGGCTGTGTGACCTTGGGCAAAGCATTTAACTTCTGGGCTTCAGTTTCCCTCTCTGAAAAATGAAAGTGTTGGGCTACTCTCAATGATCCTACACATCTATGGAGGTGCATTTTGGGGAGGAGGCAGATGTATTTCCTCCTGTTGAGGTGGGAAGGAGCTTTCTAGCCACCTCCATGATGGGGAGGGGAGGGCAGTTTGAGGCATCCCTTGAGGGGGCTGGGCCTGGGCTTGGATCTTGGGACCCTCCCCTCCTTCCAGGCTCAGCAAGTTCTTGCTAATCCTTTTAATTGCCTCATCCCTAGATTCCAGCCTGAGCCCCAAATCAGCATTCTAACACAGACACGAGCTCATGAGGAGGGTCTTTGGGAGAATCGGTCAGATTATGAAAAGTCACATTTTCCTGTGTTGGGAATTAGGCTCAAAGGCAACAGGCGTTTCTTTGACTCTGTCTCAGGGACGTGCTCAGAAAGCTGGACCAGACACAGCCTCACAGTTGGAATTTCCATTTCCCAGCCCTTGGGATTTATAGTATAATGAGAAGCAGTGTTATAATATGGATAGAGTGTTGGAGTGGGGGCCAAAAAGACCTGTATTTGTTCATGTTTTTGACACATGCAATCAAGAAGACATGAGTTCAAACCCATAGCTGATAGCTGAGTGACTATACTGTGATCTCTCTGTGCCTCAATGTCCTCATCTGCATAATGGGAATGATAACATCAACCTATTCCTATCTCAATTGAGATAATGTACTCAAAGTGATTTGCAAACATGAAGGTCTGCAGATATCAGTTCTTGTCATTGTGGGAGCCTTCATTGATCAGGCAACAAGCATTTATTAGGCACTTACTATGTGCAGGGCACTGTGCTAGTTTCTGGGGATGCAAAGCAAGACAAGAACAGTCTCTGTTCTCCAGCAGCTCACAGGGGAGACAACGTGAAAATAGTTAGGAATATTCCAGATAGATGCAGAGTAAAGTGAGGGAGAAAGGGATGGAGCTAGCATTTGAGGTGGGGGTGGGAAAATGTGGCAGCAGAGGCTTCTGGCCAAAAGTGAAACTTTGAGGGGTGCCAGAGAGGTTAAGAGGTGGGCTTGTAGCAGGTGGGAATTTATCTCAGATGTAAGGGAATCCAGGAGGGAAAGGCGACGAGAAGGGGAGCCTGTTGGGCTGGGGGCACCACCAGTGAATATAGCTGGGGATAGAGCACCTTGTTTGAGAACAGCCTCTGATGCACTGGATCACAGGGTAGGTGGGTGGAATAAGGTGTAAGAAGACGAGTAAGGTAGGAAGGGGCCAGGTTATGAAGGGTTTTCAAAGATGGTATCAGGCACTGGGGGAGATACAAAGATAAATCAGATAGTAAGCTCTCAAGGAGGCAGCTAGGGGGCACCATAGTGCACAGAGCTCTGAGCCTGGAGTCATCTTTCAGAGCTCAAATCTGGCCTCAGACACTTACTAGCTGTGTGACCCTGGGCAAGTCACTTCCCCCTGTTTGCCTCAGTTTCCTCATCTGTAAAAGGAGCTGGAGAAGGAAATGGCAAACAACTCCACTATCTTTGCCAAGAAAACCCCAGATGCTCAGTTCATCACAGAGTCAGACATGATTAAAATGAACTCTCAAGGTGCTTGCTGAATGATACAGGGGAAAGACCATTGCTCTGCTGCCAAAGGCCTAGGTTCAAATCCTCCCTCTGGAGCTTATACCTGTGTGCCCTTGTGCAAGTTACTGGGCCTCAGTTTCCCCTCCTGTTAAATGAAGGGGTGGGACTAGATAGGCTCCGGCTCCAGATCTCTGGTCCCCTGAGGCTATAATTATGAGTAGCTCTGTGCAGCTTCCCTCCTTTGGAGGGAAGCCATGGTGGCAGACATCTCAGGGTCCAGTGCCATCTGCATCAAGTGGTCACTTTGCCAGAATCCTGCCTCCCAGGGCTGTCTGGGAAGAGCAGCGGGAAAGGGAGCTCCCAGCTTGTTTCCTGGGTCTGGGGAGGCCATTTCAGGCTCAGCTGCCTATATCTCCAAGTCATGGTCCTCAGGGCAAACCTGCTGTTGACCATCTTAAATGTTTAAAGATGGACATATTTCAACTGATATCATTTCTTTTTAGCCCTGGGTTCAAGAGCCCTGAGAAGATCTGTCAAGAGATGAGCCTAATCCCAAGCTAAAAGAGAGTGGAGACTGTGGCCTCTACGGGAAAAATAGGGGCATGTGAAGGAGTCCACATCCACTTCCAGCTCCAGAGGGGGGATCTTTTCTATGTCTAAAGTCGTAGAATCTTAGAGCTGTCAGGGACCTAGAGGCTGCCTAATCTACCCCATTATTTTAGTGAGGACAAAACTTGGCTCAGAAGGTAAAGTGACTTGTCCAAGGTAACACAGGTAGGGACTGGCAAAGCTGAGATTTAAAGCCAAGTTCCCTGGCTCTTGTTCTTTTACCACCATTCCACAAGATAAGTCCAAATTCTGTCTGTTCATCCATCCATCCATCCATCC